TGTTTCTGAGCTAGATGGCCATTTACCTTCAAGCTTTTAAGACCCCAGATGCTATATCCTTTGATACATGGTGCTGTTCTTACGACCCTGAAAGCAAACGTCAGTCAAGCCAGTGGAAGATGCCATCGTCACCTCATCCAAATAAAGCTCGTCAAGTGAAATCAAAGATCAAGACAATGCTCGTTTGTTTGATGTGGAGTTTGTTCCATCAGGTAAGACTGGTAATCAGACTTTCTATTTAGAGGGTCTGAAAAGATTGCATAACAGTCTGTGACAAAAAGGCCTGATTTGTGGCAGATAGGGGACTGGTTTTGCCACCACAACAATGCACCCACTTGCACAGCCATCTCTGTGTGCCAGTTTTTGGCAAAAAACAGCATGCTTCTCTTGGCCCACGCACCTGACCTCACTCCGTGTGACTTCTTTTTGTTTCTGAGAATGAAGAGGAACATGAAAAGACAGCGATGTGATGAAGTAGAAGAGGTGAAGAAAAAAATGAAGGAGGTGCTGTCAGCCATCCAAACAGCTTACTTTGAAAAATGTTTCCAAGAGGAATCTTAGATTTGACAAAGGTATTAAATGTAATGGAGAGTACTTTGAAGGTTTTAAGGTTGTTTTATTAAAAAATTTAAATACATAGCTTTGAAAAAAACCTCAGTTTTTTGGGGGGTAGCCCCTTGTATTCCTCAGAGTGGGATTGCTGAATCACATGGTAACTCTATATTTAATCGTTGAAGTGCTAGACTGTTTTCAAAAAATCCTGGACCATTTTACATGCCCATCTGCAGTGTACCTGGGTCCTGATGTCTATACATCTTGACCAACATTTGTTCTTATGTGATATTTTAATTCTAGTCAGCTTAGTGGGTATAAAGTGATCTCTTGATGTGGTTTTTATTTGAATTTTCCTGAGGACAAATGCTGCTGAACATCTGTTTGTGTGCTTAGTAGCCATTTGGATATCTTCTTTGGAGAAAGGTCTGTTCAGATCCATTGCCTTTTTTTTCCTCTTCCAGTTTTATTTACTTATTGTACAACATTTTCTTCATTCTTATACGTATCGCTATTAGTTCCCCATTTCTCTCCATCCTCCCCTGCCCTAATTCCCAGGAACCATTAATCCAGTTGTTGGCTCTATAGATTTATCTATCCTGGGTTTCATATGTAGAAAAATATTTTTTTTAAAACTGAACAGTAGTAAAGTAAAACAGACAAAAACCTCAATAGAAAAGAAGACAGAAAGTATTAAAAACTAGAACAAATGAAAAATGGATCATAAGGGAGATCAAATGATAAGGTGCTAAATTTTAACCTAACTGCATCTTCAGTGACCCACTTTCCAATGCGTTCTGCATGACAGCAAAGCTGTTCACATCCCTGATCCATAATCAGAGGGGATTCACCAGAGACTTAATCCACATGTATTTCCCCTGTGCTTTTTTTAAAAACTAAAATAACTTAAAAATGTGTCAAAAGGGAGATAAAATGAAAATATATTGTATTTTTTACCTAACTATGTCTGCCATAATAAACTTCACAATGCTCTCTGATAGCAGGGCTATTCACATCCCTCAACTACGGTCAGATGGGATTCAATGGAGGCTTAATCCATGTGTGTGAACTCTGGGCTTCCACTGCCATCTGTAGCCTTCTGAAAACCAGGTTTTCACAATTTAAGCTCTGATACCATCCCCTCATTTAAATTTGGATTATATTATTTACAATCATTGGAACACATGGGCGTGCATTTTCTATGTGGACTTAGCTGACACCTCACTTTGATGGCTGCTTTATTTACGACAAGCCTTTTAGACCCAGATGCTCTTCCTTCTTATAGCTGGGCATCCTCTAGTTTCTTCACCACACTTTGCTATAACACACATATCTTCAGTGATCTCTTCATGAGTGTGAGCATCAAGCAGGGCCCTATCATGAGAACTAATTATTCTTAGATTGAGGCTAGGCTTAAGTGCCAGCCCCAAATCCATTCCCATATCTGTTTTCTGTATGTCTCTGGTTCACCTTAGAGTCATTATTGTCATTTTTATGTAGAGAACATTATCAATTATTCCCCTAGGGCATCATTTCCACTGCCGTTAAGTTGATGCTGTCTATAGGACAGAGCAGAACTCCCCCTCCTGTGAGTCTTTGAGACTGCAAATCTTCACAGGAGCTTTCTACTTCATCCTTCTCCCACGGAGCTGGCTGGTGGTTTTCAAGTGCTGACTTTGCAGTTGGCAGCCCAATGCTTAACCACCACACATTGACAGTGTCATTGGATTAAGCCAACAGTATAGAATTGAAAACACTGTTAAGAAAATACAATTATATGAGGATAGGCCAGCTATGAGCTACAATACATGAATTATTAAGTACAGATTAAACTTTTTTTTAAATCATTTTATTAGGGGCTCATACAACTCTTATCACAATCCATACACACATCAATTGTGTAAAGCGCATTTGTACATTCATTGCCCTCATCATTCTCAAAACATTTACTCTCCACTTAAGCCCCCGGCATTAGGTCCTCATTTTTCCCCTCCCTCCCCGCTCCCCCCTCCCGCATGAGCCCTTGATAGCTTATAAATTGTTATTTTGTCATATCTTGCCCTGTCTGATGTCTCCCTTCACCCACTTTTTGGTTGTCTGCCAGGGAGGAGGTCACATATAGTTCCTTGTAATCGATTCCCTCTTTCCTACCTACTCTACCTCTACCCTGTTTCGCCACTCACACCACTGGTCCTGTAGGGCTCATCCGCCCTGGATTCCCTGTATTTTCAGTTCCTATCTGTACCAGTGTACATCCTCTGGTCTAGCCAGACTTGCAAGGTCGAATTCTAGTCATGGTAGTGGGAGGGGGGAGGAAGCATTTAGGAACTAGAGGAAAGTTGTATTTTTCATCGTTGTTACATCGCACCCTGACTGGCTCATCTCCTACCCAAGACCCCTCTGCAAGGGGATCTCCAGTGGCCTACTAATGGGCTTTGGGTCTCCACTCCACACTCCCCCCATCATTCACTATGGTAAGATTTTTTGTTCTGATGATGCCTTATACCTGATCCCTTCGACACCTCGTGGTTACATAGGCTGGTGTGCTTCTCAGATTAAACTTTTAAGTGACTTGATTCTACTCACATAAACATTGGGGGTTGGCGATAGGCCATTGCCCATTTTTAATTGAATTGGAAAAAAAAACCTAAGTTATCAGAGTTCTAGATACAAGTCCCTTCTCAGATATTTGGTTTGAAAATATTTGCTCTGTCTTTTGAACTAGAACCCTCTATTTTTCCAACTGAAATCTTACAGAACAGATCATGTTCTTTCTAAAGAAGGAACTATAGAATAGGAAGATCACAACACCCACCCAATCTCCTTACGGCTTCTCTAGGGAAATACAATTTGAGAAGCATTGAATTTCTAGAAGATGTTCTAATTAGTCTAAGTAAGGTTTTATTGTGGCGATCATGAATAAAACTGGCTGTGAGTAAATTAAAATGTGTCTTAATTTTAGAGCTGGATCCTCAACCCATTCTGGTACCACTAGCCAAAGCATAAACAACTTCTTTAACAAACAAGTAAATTAGAAACTCCATTGTGTTGACTTCCTTGCTTTCTGCTTCAGAAAGGAGTCTGTAGGGTTCTGAAAATGCTTGAGAATTTCAAACAACAAAATTTCAAGAGGGAAATACCAGTTACTCCTAGAGCATTATGTCTATTTGTAAAGAAATTGAGAAAAAGTCTTTAACTTACCCAGATCACAAAGACATTCATGAGATGGTCTATGTGCGTCCGCTTGAAGGTGGATTTTCCACTGTTCTGCATCAGTTTGGTGTCTGGCCCTAAGTGTCACAAGGAGACAGCAGCTCTTAGGATCACTGGAAACACTCAGAGCTTGACAAGTGGGTTGAAATGTCCCTTCATGATCACCTAGTCTCCTAGCCCAACACCAGGTATAAAGCCCTAGACAAAAGTTCACAGTTAGAACCAATCATTCAAACAATGGAAATCCACTTCTTTTTAGTGCAATGCTGACTCTCCTTGGCAGCCAGTGAGAAGGTAAGTTCAGATAGATCTGGAGCCACAAGCGTCTCTCTCATCACCATCTGGTGTATTTCGTTTAAAGAAGAGGTTTTCTGGTAAAGAGATCCTCACCAACTAGTGGACCATGCGATATTTAAATGTCCTGATAGGGGGTGATTTCTTCCAAGGTGGATGCTGGTGAGCAGAGATTGAGAGCCAGGGACTCCCATGTTTCTCCATGCCGAAACCATGAAGTCGAAGCAAGCAGCTGTTTGTGTCACCATGCATGATCAGTCACCATGCATGATCACTTACTGACCAGAAATCCTGCCATGGGAACACATAAGAGGCCTAGAAGGAACTGGAAGCAGCAATTTCTCTCATCTTTTACTATCCTAATGTTATTCTTACCTGTGATCTAATAAGGAAAGGCCCACAATATTTACACAGGAGGCGCTGGTACTGCTTGGATATGTGGGCAGACACCAAGAATGCACGACCGAGGCTAGGCCGTTCTCTCCTGTGAGGCAGTTCCTGAAGGACTTGAAGTCACGGTGCTGGGTGGCTCTGAGCCTGGAGAACTACATGAGACTGTATCTTCCACAGATGCTCAGAGAAACAGACCCTCTCTCAGGGTGGTTTGTAAGATCTCCTCTGCTCTGAGCTTCCCAACATTCCAAACAGTTTCTCACGACCACGTGACAAATGGAGAGTCCGAGTAAACCTTCACTAAATTTGTGCTGGCTGGCCCTCTCTGCGACTGCTTTAGGGGAACAGACTCTTCAGCTGAAAGCGAGCCTCTGGCGGGGCAGTGGGGGGGGTCCGCGGGAGGGGGCTGTTGCTAAAGTGCGCGAGGAAGGAACTAAGTCACATCAAATCACTGAGTCTGAGCACCGGGCAGAGGATGCCACTGTACGCCAAGAACCACTGAAAAACAGTTTCTACTGCGGCTTTCACGGACTCTTACGCTTTTCTCTAGGGCTTCAGACATCTCACTTTCCATGCCAGGAGGAGTCTGGGACCCCGACCTCCAGGGAGCGGAGGGCAGCTCTGGGAACCTGAGTTCAGGCTTAGTGACTGCGGTGAATCTTCCTTAGTGCCAACTCCAGCGCCCTTCTCTTCCCTCTATAGTGGTGTCAGCCTCCATTTCTCTCAGCTGAATCCAAGAAAACCCCTACGCAGCATGCCTTCTCCAGAGGGGCCACAGCTAATGAACCACCTGTGGCTTTTCTTTGGCATGAACCCTTGACATTATATTTTATATTCTGTTCCATAATGAGTATCTGTTCTCTCTCCATGGGAATAATCTAAGAGCAGGCACCCTCACATATACTGTCCCACAATTCATGCTCCTTCTATGTGTATTTATTTTATTTCTATACCTCCCCTTGTGTCCAGACATGGTTGAAAAGATTCAGGAGTATTCTGTGGTCTTGGAGCACAAAGAAAGAATCGATAGACTGGCGGCTCATTTCTCTGTTTTGAAAAAAGTAACCCCAACCCCCTAGAGATAAGCTTTTGAACACTCATCATACATGCAATGCCAGAGCCATGGTGTTCTAAGGTATATCTGAGGGTCCTATCCACATCTGGTAATCCAAGTGCATATAGTCTGACCATGGATGGGATCCACTGGGTTGGAAGTCTGCCTGTGGCTTTAGGGAGACGCACCGGTATAAATCACCAAGCCGTAACACCAGTCTGTGTTCCTGATGGTGCAGCCTCGGAGCAGCAGTTTGTCATAGTCCAGGAGGTACTTATTGTCCTTATATGTCAATATGCCTGTGAATTTGTCCAACCTGTTATTGGGAGGGGCACACCTTACTTCTCCTGCAAAAACAAACAAACAAATAAATAAGCTAAAGGGTAGGCACCCTGGCTCTGTAATCTTAGCCCTTTCCTTCCTAATAGGCAGAGAGAGTTTAATAAATAGAGGAAAGAAAATCCTTCCTATAGTTTTCCTATCCTTTCCGTGGCGGTTCATATAGCCCAGCTCCCCAGACCCAGGCAAACAGAGGCTCCGGGCATCAGAGATGACGAGTGCTGCAGGGGACATGGATCACCCCAAAGAGGACACCCTACATGACAGTTGCTCACAACACGCACCAGCAGATCATGCGAGCTTTCGTCTGAGCAAAACCAGAGACTTCTTAACAAGGCAGACCTAGTGCACCTGCCCCGCCAATGGAAGTAATTGGACTTTTCCCTAATTAGTAAAGTAAAATGTGTCTGTCACAGAAACATGTACCATGTTAAAAAAACAGAGAAGATACCATTGTTTAGAGGGAAATTATATTTCTCTTCTGGAGTACATCCTTTCAAGTTTTCTTTTCTTCTAGACCTACATACTGTCCCAAACAGGTGTGTATTATAAAGACTACGCAAACTCTTTTAAAATCTGTATTTTCCACGTATGTTGTAACTCTTTTTCCATGTCAATAAACATCAACTTGTATCTTTCTTTTTAATCAATTAGATAGAATTCTCTGTATTTAATTCACTCCATACATTACTTAACCACTTCTTTACGAATGGAAATTTGGGGCAGGCAGACGCTATTCCTAACTCACCATCAAAAGCAGATAGCAGCTCCAGGTTATCTTCCATTTCACTGGTGATTGAGATGGCCTGCTTCACTTTCAAGTTGGTTTCGCTACAGTAAAGGACCCATAGTCACCAGAGGGCAGTCACGAGTAGTCCAGTGACTACTATTCCCTCTGGGGGTTTAGAAAATAGGGATTGCCAGCAGAGTTTGGGCTATAAATTTGAGTCCTAAGAGGTGCCGATTGTCCCCTTCTCTCAGGGATAATATTGAGGTGGGATTGCAGGGAAGCCAACTATGAGCCCCTCACTCTCCCTGCCTCTTGCTGCCTGCAACACACTCCCACTACTTTAGCCCACAAGTTCGGAACAGATGCTCTAGAGAACTGCTGACACCTCACAAAACAGCCTGGAGATGGCACTGCTCTATTCAAGGTCAAGTGAAGGGCCTACACTCACCTCATCGGAACAACGCATAGCTGTCAGACAATGCAGGTATCTAATGACTGAGGAGAGGCACAGACAGAAGCAAAAAGAGATGCCACCTTTCCAAAAGCTTGTGGGCACCAATAGCTATGAGACACAATTGAGATGAAACTCCATAGGACAAGCTTTTGGAAAATGGCTCCGAGTCCTCCTAAGACCTTAGCCTTACCCATGAATGAATCTCTACCTTAAATCCTTCATGGACCATGGTAGTTCATGAGTAAATGGTTATCTCCATACTCAGTTTCCCCCTGCAGTTTTGGAATTCTGTTCTGAGATTTTACAGATACCACTCAGCATTACTGAGTACAATGAAGACAACAGAGCGTCTCCATTTTCAGGCTTTATAATTTAAAGTTGATTTGTTCAGATTCTGCACCTGGCGTTCAATAGTGCCTGTAGGTGCTTAGCCTCAGACATGTGGGTGCCAAGGGTTTGGCTTTCTACCTTCTGTTATCTGGAGAATTTCCAGACCCTACTGTGTCCATCTGAGAACAGCATCTGTTCCCCGCGTCATGTTCTCTCTCAGTGATTGACCGCCCTAAACCGAAACCAAACCATTCTGACTCAGTGACCCGGTAAACAGTGTCTGATACTGTACATCTTTACGGGAGCAGGCAGCCTCATCTTTCTTCCTTGTAGCAGGGGATGGGTTTGAACTGCCAATCTTGTGATTAGCAGTCTAATGCCTAGCCCATACTGCCACCTGGACTCCTTCAGAAAACTCCCTGAGCTGACTAAATTGTCTTACTGGAAAGATTGGAGGGAACACTTACCCATCAAGTTCTGTAGTTTCTACGTAAGCCACACTGTAGGGCTCACTGCTAGAGAGTAATAGTACATCTGCCTGTGGTCAGGAATCAAAGGCAAGCATTTAATGTGACAGGAGGAGCTAATGTTCATTCTAAGAACTTTGCGAACATTTGGTTTATTTTCTTTCTCTGAGACCCGCCACTGCCATCACATCCTTCCTCCCCAAACTACTTCCATTTAACCTGTAGCAACGATGAGAAAGGGACGAGGTCAGGCTTACCGCCAGAGCTGCAAGCCTCCGGGTACAAAGTGAGGCAGATGAAGGTCACTCAGAGGGGTGGGCGCAGAGCTTCCACTCATGCCAACAGAGAACAAGCCTGAGCCAAAAGAGGCACTCACCATGACAGGGTGATTGTTTTCTAGTTTTACTATATCTCCCACTTGGATGTTCATCCATCTGTCTTCCTTTACCCTGTAAGAAAATGGCACTTCAAAGTCTGCTCAGAGTTTCCCCAAGGCTCTGTTTTGACGATTGAAAAAGCAAAATAAACAAATCAGAAAACAGAGAAGAAACAAACTGGCTTATGATGCACCCATGTTCTAATCAAGAGTGGGGCCCACGTCTCTTGACTTAGAGCTATAACGCTTGTGGAAGGGGGTCCTCTACTTTATGGAAGACCAAAAGAGCAGTCAATATTTATGGGTGATAAGACAGTTCAAATAAGAATTTTTCTAAAATGCTATGACTGTATATGTAGATATTCTCATATTATAATTATTTTACAATAAAAAGTAATATATACATATGGTAAAACAAGTAGTGCAAATACCATCCACCCACTCACTGCCAACAGGTCAATGTCAACTCACAGTGAGTGGCCTTACTGGGCAGGGTAGAATGGCCCTGGTGGGTGTCTGAGACTGTACTTCTTTATCGGAGTAGCAACCTGCATCTTTTTCCTGAGGAGTGACTGCTGGTTTCAAACTGCTGACCTTGTGGTTAGCTGCTTAACATAAGGTGACCAGATTTTCACATTGGTAAAGCGGGGGGAAAAAGCGGGACACCATTGATAAAACTCATATCCTGGCGAAATAGCCACATGGCAGCCGAAAACGGTATACTCTAGCTTGTCATGCATTCTTTCCAAAAATTGAGACTTTTTTGAAACGCCGCAGGACGCGGGAAAAATTGTTAAAAATCGGGACTGTCCTGCCAAAAGCAGGACGTCTGGTCACCTTAGCTTAACACTGTAACCACTATATCACCAGGGCGCGGGACTGTAGAAAGAGAAAAATGAAAGTCACTAATAGATTGAACCTTTAGTTTTGTTCCCCAAAGGTGATCGCTGTAATTAAAAAAAAAAAATCCATATAATCACATACAATATTTGTTAAGAAGGTATATATTAGATACACCATTTACTATACCGTTCACTTAATCGCGAGCTCCGGTGGTATAGTGGTTACGGGTTGGGTTGCCAACCACAAGGTCAGCAGTTGGAAACCATCAGCGGCTCCTCAGGAGAAAGATGAGGCTTTCTACTCCTAAGAAGAGTGACAGTTTTGGAACCCCATAGGAACAGTTCTCCTCTGTCCTATGGGGTTGATGTGAGTCAGAAGTGACTTGATGGCAGTCAGTGGTTTTCACTTAATCATCTTTGAGACTATTCTCATAGGGCTGTTCCAGTTTTGCGAGGAAGGCGAGGCTCTCTACGACCATGAAGAGCTGCAGTCTCGGAAACCCACAGGGGGAGTTCCATACTGTCCTATAAGGTTGCTGTGAGTTGGAATCAACTTGACAGCAGTGAGTTTCATTTTTGATTTGGTACCAATTTTATTTATTTAAATTAAAATTGGAATACCTTGGCCCTTCAAGACCCACGTCCCCTAAAAGGCAGCCTGCAATTAAGAGCAGATTCTACAGTTAATACTGACTCTCGTCCCTCCGCTTTTTGAGCATCAGTGTCCCCAGCTACAAATCTTTCCTCCCGGCTAGGAGGACTAGGGAGAATGCACACATTGACACAACACTTTGGAATCAGAGTCATCCCCTTTCAACATTTCTATCAGGGCAAACAAGCCAAGAGCATGGGAGAGAGAGGGCATGTCTAGAGGCCATTAAGCATTTCACTTTTGAATGCAGCCTGGCTATTGATAGGGCATGAAATGCAGAGCCTCATTGCCAAGCAGAAAGGTAAGGGTATTTGCAGAACACCGCTTCTGAAAAGTATCTAAAACCCCTCCAAAAGTCTTTTTGTAGAAATCTGCAGTTTCCTTCAGAGAATCTTCTGGTCATCCAGAAGGAAAGCTACGCGCCTTGGAGGAAACCCACTTGAGAAGGTGTTTTCTCTTGTTCACTTTTGCCAGCTCTCGGGGATTCTCCCTGATTTTCACTGATGAAACAGGAAAGAACGGCATTGCACTCTGGTTTCTCTGGGGATTGAAAAGCTCCCACTTTGTCACATAAGAAGCCAACAAACTGGCAGTACGTTGTTCTTAGAAATTATAACCACTATGCGTTTATGATTTGGGAGTGGGGATAGAAGTAGGAGCCATTCCCTTCTGTTACATTGTAAGTTCATCTTTAATTTCTAGGTACTGCATCTGAATTTTTGATTTAGAAAAATATGGTCCAAGCGATGGAAAAGGCATGCTTTGACTCCCTGGGCCCCCCTTCCTATCAGACTCTCTGTCTGGGGGCAGTAACTCCTGGAGCTGGACGGGACTACACTGGACTAGATAATCTACCAACTTTCCAACTGCAAAGATTCAGAAAAGCTAGCTAAACTGGAGCCAGCACTTCTTTAAAAGAGCAAGGCTAAGCTGTCCACAAAGTAAGCAGCTAGGGAGACCGAAATCTAGACTAGTAAGCATGTTTCAACAACTGTCAGCTTGTCGTACTGAGGTCGCGCTGTAAATTTAGGGCACGCTGAATCTAGAAATATATTTTTTTCTATTAGGTTCCATCGGAGATTCTGTTCACTGCCCGGAGCCCTGAGGGTGCAGAAGTTGAGGCTTGTCTGCTAAGCTACAGGCTTGAACGCCCGAACACACTCCGTGGGAGAACAGCGTGGCAATCTGCTTCAGTAGAGATGCACGGCCTAGAAGGCAAATGTTTGAGGACGAGGATGGCAACAATGTACAAATGTGCTGGACACGATGGATGGATGGATGGATGGATGGATGGATGGATGGATGGATGGATGGACTGTGATAAGAGTTGGACAAGTCCCCAATAAAATGACTAAAAGAGAAAGATGTACAGCCGATGGGGTAGTTCTATTCTGTTCTACAGCGTCATCATGAGTTGGCCAAGCCTTGATGACAGTGCGTTTGGCTGGCACTACTCCGAAGCTCTCAGCAAACCAGGTTTGGGCATTGCCAGTCTCAAACGTGGTCCCACCTCGTTGGCTTCCCTGGAAACACTTACCTGCCATTAACCAAGAGCTGAACACGACGGTTGTTTACTTGTCTGTCAGACTTGTGCCTTTTCTAAAACGATAAAGGAAAATGTTCAGGAAAGTGACATGTAGAAGGATCATCTTTGATGAATTGTCCGATGTCGTTTTCCTCTTTGTTAAAGTTAAGGGAAGACAAAGAAAGAGCTGGGATTTTAAAGAGGAGATGGAGGGCAGTCTGGAAGGCGGGCTACCACATTTGTGGTAGAAAATCAGAGACAGGCTTCGTCTTGTCCTTTCTAAGCATGCACAGACCACTGTTCTTGGAATTAAGGGGGTGATATAGTCCCCTGGGATAAAGAAAGAAACAAGGACGGGAAATAATCTCTTTCCATTCAGTGCTGCTTCTTTAGCACTAGGGAGTTCTGGGAAGTCCTTCTGGGCCCAGAGCTCTGGCGGGTAAAGAGAGGAGCCAGAGGCCCAGGAAGCCTCACCAGGTCATCGTTGGCGTCTTTCACGCCTGTGATGGACAGCACCACTATCAGGGGTATCACCGTGGAAAACCATGGCAAGGAGGAGATCTGCGGAATCAACTGGGAGAGGAAAGGAAGATAAGCTTGGGTCAGAAAATTGAAAGGACGATATAGTCCCATCCCTCAGCCCCCTAACCCACACCACCATTTTCACTTCCGAAGGTTCATAATAAACTCAATGACCGTAGTGGCTTTTCTGTGTTGTAGCTTTTATATACTTCCCAAAATGTAAATACACATTTTCCCAGAGGAGGAAGGAAGGAGAGGAAGCTGTATGTTGCTACCTATCTGTTCTGAACTCCACTTCTTTTGTCTCGATGGCAAAGGGCCAGATCTCCCCTGACCATGAAAGATACTGAGGCAAGAAAGGTAAGAATGGATATGATAAAACCATATTTACTCTTACTTCCCTCCTGTGCAAGGGAAAATTCTCTAATTTAGACCTTTCCTGCCCAGCTTCCTTGTCTTGTGCTGGCACTCCTGTGTTCTACATATTTCTCCTGCCTCAGCCCTCCTGGCCTGGTAACTTTCTGTCTGGGACAAGATGGAAGCGTCAGTGGGTGCCGACACCTTCAGACTCGGTTACAGTTGAGGTTGGAGTGAAGAGTGCTTGTGGTCCCTTATGGACAAGTTGAACTGTGGCCAGGTGGTCATGATGAGGAAGCTACCCTTCTTTGGGGTTACAAGCCCCTATCTCCTTCCGCTTGTGGAGGCTAGTTTTACACTGGCCAGTCTTGACCAGCCCCTCTAGGGGACCGGCCTGGGACACCAATGAGCGCCTTGCCTCTTTATCTCCATAGGAGAGACACCTTTCAGCTGGGTGAGGAGGAAGGACTGGTTACATACACTACGTGACCCCAGAGGTGGGCAAAATGTTCTGTGAAAATGATTCCAAAAGGCAATACCTGTAGGCACAGCAAAAAGAGGAAATAAGCATTTGCAAGTCTCTGGAACTGTTCAAACAAGTTCAAGGGCAGGAAGTTGAAGATATTGTATTTTGAGGTATTGATGGTATTGTCCTGTGAGTCAAAGAAAACGAGCACAATAAGAGGAAGAAAAGATGGCTCCAAACTGGAATGAAAGTATTACCTGATGCCCCAAGCGTCCAGTCTTTACTCAGCATGTCCCTCCCTCCCTCCAGGAAAAGGGAGAGGAAAGAAGTGTCTGAGTTCCCTCTTTCCCCTGACGCCTAGAGTCAAACAGCCAGGCGGCTCAGTGCGGGCTGTCCTTGGGGGCAGAAGGCTGCTCTGTCCTGGATAAAGCTCGCCTACATTGATGCCAACAATGCTAATAGTGAATAACAGCAAAAATGGACAAGTAATGAATATTTACTATGTATAAGGCTCTGTTCTAAGCAATTCTTAATTACTTTTTTTCAGCAGTTTTACTGGGATATAATTCACATATCACACAATCCAACAGTTAATCACATCAAGAAGAGCTGTACTGCGGCTCTACCAACCAAGGGGAGCTCGCACGAGAATATCACCCCCTTGTGAAACTGCCAGTGGCCCATACTCACCGGATACCCAAATTTACTGTTGAATTCCCTGTTGTTGGCTTGCAGCATTCGGCTTTCTGAAACAGAGGAGAGAGGTGATGAGAGGGAAGTCCTGCTGCAGACCAGCCTGGGCACAGGCTGTTCCTCAAGATTTCATCCTTAGGCTTTATCTCTGAGACTGCGTCCAGGGTTTGGCCTGTTTATTCAAAGAATCAAGAAATTTAATAAAAATAGAAACTCTCACATATTCAAGCTTCTAGAAGTGCCAGGATAAGTCCTCCTAGGGAGTTCTCCACCTTAACAGCTTCTAGTAATTCCTAGAGGATGTCTCCACAGACCACAGGATGGCTTGTTGTTTATTGCCAAACACAGAAACTTAGGCCTGCCTCGTTAGCCAATTCCAGCGCTTGTCTTATGAGAGCTGAGCTTTTCTAAGCCAGTCATTCTTTTTTTTTCTTTGTAACAAAATCATATAAACCTTTATTAGACAAAAATATAAAAATGTGAATTGATCTATTTACATATGTACACACCTATGTTTATGCCTCTATCCATAACTTTGCTTCCTAGCGCTTTCCTTTTACCTTCCTCCTGCACCACCATCACACTCGCCCTTCTGCCTCTTAGTAATTCTTCTCAGCTAGAGTGCTGTTGCTCCAACACCTTCTTCAACCGGGTGCTCTGCATTTAAGCTCTAATACCTTTCCCTCCTCTGGTCTTGGATTTTATCATTCACAACCCTTGGGTCACACAGTCGGATGTGCTTCTTTCACGCGGACTTAGCTATGACTTCCCTCCAGACACTAGTCTTCCTGGTAGCCAGGCACCGTCTGATTTCCTCACCACACTTTGCTATTGTACCTGCATCTTCAATGATGTAGGCGTGCGGGCAAGTATTGAGTAGTAAGCCGTCCATTCTCAATCTTAACTAAATGTAAATTAATAAATCATTATTGAGCAACTCCTGCATAGATGACAAGGTGTTAGATGCTGTTCAGTGATTCAAAAAATAAATACAACAGAATCTCTGGGATGTGAGGGCAATCTGACTGTGACATCTGTCACCCCATTGATCACCAGGGTTGATTCAGCTGATCTGACTGGCTAGGCGGGTGACCCCTTCCTACCTCACTGCTCCATGTGTGTCCCTCCCGAAGCTGCATGCTTGGTTGACGAGGACAACCTTCCCCAATAGAAGGAGGACCGTCCTTCGGTCAAGGTGTATGAGTAGCTGCCCTCCCCTGCTAGAACCTCCACACAAGTCGCAGAACCTCTGACACCAATGGACTTAAAGTTGAGTTAGTAGGGGTGAGCTTGATAACCACGTGTGTCAGAATAGAACAGTGCTCCCCAGGGTTGTCGGTGATGGACTCTTTGGCAGTGGGTCACCGGGCCTTTCTTCCTTGTGCCTCTGGGTGGCCACCAACTTCTCCTTTTGTGGTTAGTAGCTGAATTTGTTAATACCACCCAGGGGCCCCTGATAACTACAACACATGACAAAAGCGTCACATCAAACATAGGTGCTACACAAGTAAGTGTGCTCTCATTTTATAAAATTTACCATTATATATTTTGCTCCTGAATGAAAACATTCCTGTAGTCTCTTAAATTCTTCCATGACTCAAAAATAATTTATGGAGTTCTTGTCTTGTAGCAAGCCCTGTGTTAAGCCCCAGAGTTACCAGATGAGGAAGACATCATCCCTGACATCTTGGGACTCCTATTACTAGTAGGGGAGACAAACATAAAAGAAAAACTTAGTCTAGTGCAGGTAAGCACATATATCGGTAAGCACAGGATGCTAGAGGTACACAGATGAGGAGTAATTCAGGATTGGGGTAGAAGTGGGGGAAAGAAAGACATGGAAGTGTTTCTGAAGAAGATGGCTCAATTCTTCATCTAATAGCAGTGACTGCTATCCAGTCAGTTCTTTTAAGCCTGAATCTAGGCCTGGAGCCCTATCGGGAACCTTTAAAGTCAGGAAATTTGCATTTTAAAAGACATGCAGATCTACTAAGGCCTACTGGGAGAATAGGAGATTTGCATTTGCAGGAGGGCTGCGTGTGGTTTTTTGAATTTCAAGCAATTTAAGCAAATCCTTGCCTAGATGCATCAAGGCAGGAAAAGCCTTTGTCCTGAAAACAAACCCAAAGGCAAACGCCCTTTCTAAGACTAGGAACGAGCGTGCGTCAGGAGTGGACAGCCTGGAATGCTGTTTATGAGGACCACTCAGGTCTTTTCAATCAATGGATGTGGGGGAGGTACAGCAACAAAGGGAAAGAGGAGCATTGGCCAGTCTGAAGTTCAGGGAGTTGTGTGGACTCCTGAGCCTACAGTGGTACCATTGACCTAGCCCCAGAGCAAGAAGGGCTGGCTAGCTTGAAAATCAGGGAGATAGGTGGACCCCCAAGCTTGTGGCCGGTACCCGAGGACCTTGCTTGGATGGTTAAGGATGAGCTGATGAGAACTTAGTCTAATGAAGAGGGAGTGCTTGGCACTGTGAGTTGGTGTAACCTGCTGTAATTTGATAGCTTGTTCCGGACTAGACTTTGCTTAGAATGCAGATTTTCAAAGTTTCAACAGGAACATATTTTTCCGATCAAGAAATATGCTTTTCTTCTCAGATGATTGCTTTGATAGGGAAAGGCAATTTAGAAATTCGCCATCTACAATGGGGAGTGGTAATAAAGGCATGAAGTTGAAAAGGAGGAAGATGAGGGATAAAGGGGGTTGTCTCCACCGACTGCCTACACTAACGAAAATTAGCTGACCATGCCACAGTAAAGGGGCTGCAAAGAAATCAGGCACACGTTAGATACCTAACGGGGCCATCCAGAGCTGGGCATGCTCAGACCCAGGTCACCTAGGCCGGCACACCCACACAGGCACCAGCGACATTACATACGCACGCATGCATATGAACTCAGCCACTGAGATTGGTCAATATCCTCAACCACGCCGCTGACCCCCACCCCAGCCAGTGGGGATAGGGAGGGATAAATAGCAGGCTGCGGGCAGGCAGGCCAGCGGGTGGGATCTCTCCCCTTTCTCT